TTCGAATTTATTATAAAGTAATAACTAGTATGTAAATTTGAAATAAGTAAATAAAAATTTTTACGATGATTTTGATTAAACCGATCAGTTTTTTACAAAAAGACAAAATGACTTTTGATGATTTTTCAGCTCAAAAAAGAAAAAGAGCGCGAACAAATAGATTTCCAGAAAAATTGATCATACAATAAAAAGAAATGGCATGCGGACTAAATAGGTCAAGACAAACAAGCTTCATATCTGTTTTTAACCTTGTAAAGCTTACGTCCGGGGAGCTAAAAGAAAGTAAAATTTAAAACACACACTCTTAGTGGCTATTTTCTGCTTCCATATCCTTCTGTTTCCAAATCTCCCAACAAAAAGCTTCGAGAAAATCTGAAGATTGGGCATAATTGGGAACAATTGAGCTATAATATGAGAACAGTATGAGGCTCTTTGCCTTTTTCTTACATGTGAATTTTAGTTTTTGAAAAATTAACTGTAGGTCGACACAATGTAATGAAATTTTTCATAGTGAACAAACCAACTACTGTGAAGTTAGATAAATAGCTAAAACACTGTATTGCTCAAAATCGCTCCAAAAACAAGCAACTTTGGGGAATTCGAAACAAAATTTGTGGTATCTGCAACAAATTTTACGGAATCTGGAACAATTTGTGGAATCCATGAATACATAGTAATATGTGTTAAAGGAACTTAAGCTGTCGTGGAATCCACAATTGTAAGTAGAAACCGCAAATTGTGAAGCGGAATCCGCATAATTTTGCGGAATCCACTAATTTGCGGAATCCGCTTACATTTGTGGAATCCGGAAAAATTACCTATAGTCACCCGTTGCGGCACCCGCAAAAAAAAATATATGCCGACAAAATTTACGTTACAGCTATTTGTACGCCGAATCCATGGAAATTTTGTAGGTGGAATCAACTCACATTTTGAAACATATTTGAACACTTGTTTTTGGAATCTAGGAACATACAGACACAAAATTGTGCTGCTATCCAGTACCCAGTTTGGCCTCGTAATGATAGTTTATTCGCTGAACATGCAAAAATCGGCCCTTCAATTCTTCCCTCCCCTAATTACTGTATACAGACACAAATGTGGGAAAGTTATTACAAATGTGGGAAAGATATTTGGTTCCCAAGAAAATTATTTTTCTCAGATTATTCGCGCTCACCACTATTTTAACATGCCTTTGCGACTGCTATGAAACGAGTCGAACTAAATTTTTAATCAAATAGTTTGATGCCGAAAGTTGAACTGAGGCAAGTTAATTGGTCTTTCCACACACGACTTAATAATATTTAAATTTTGATATAATCAGCCTTAATTTTTTATTTTATCAAAGTTTTGAAACCAAAAACTAAAGGAGACCAGCTAATAAGCAGTCGGAGCATTTAGGGCTTTGCCTTGATACTAGTAATCTTAATAACTTTTGTCCGCGTTGTGCTTTTTTCTCTATTTTGTTCCTCTCAACTCAAATTTTTTCTTTGTTTTAGGTGTTCTTATGGTTAAATGCGTAATGTATCCATCAATAGTATGCAGAAAATTTAGTTTACAATAGACAATTTGTTAATCATGCAAAATTTTATCACTAAATGCCATTCTTAAATAGCTTTTCAAAACTGAACTTTAACTTTGAGGTGAAACTGGCAAAGCTCCCGTAGTTCACTTGGGGTTAGTTAGAAATTATTAAGTAGATGACTTGTAAAAATTGTCATGGGTTAAGGTCTGCCTTGCCCAATTAAAAGCACATCAGTTATTATCTACTGAAAGTCATTTACTGCACATAAAACCTTACAATTTTTCAGAAAAACTCATTTTTCGACAAAATTTTGGAACATTATTAAAGCCTACCCCATCAAAAAAAATTCTACTTCAGCTTGGTATTACACTAAACCGAAGAGGACTCATCAAGTTGATAAAGATATCACTCGATTTGCTTTTTGAGACTGGTGTAAATTCTTCATCAGTTTTCAAAGAAAGTTTTTGTTCTTCATAGTATAATAACATTACTTTATAAAAACATATCCTCGGCTGAGAGCACACGTATTTTTGGTTTAAAATTGTATCCAAAAATTCGAGAAGAGTTTTTTCTGGCTCAGGCACTCTTACATAGCACGCTTACACAACTAAAAAAAAATACCCAAATAGAGTGCCAAAAAATTTTTTCTGAGTGTTATACCAAAGTTTAAAACAAAAAATAAAAGTTGAATTCAAGCAGTACTTTTTGCTATTAATCAGCAAAGCATTTCGCTGATTCCTAATTATTCTTATTCATTATTAAAAAAGATTTATGCCGTTGCGCTATGAGCCAACAGCCTTCCGCAATGTACGTTTCTCGTTAAATTTCCGCGACGAAGCGTCGGATAAGTGTTTTTGTCGGTTCGAAAAGTAACAAAAAAAAACTGGTGAGAATTCAAACTAACTAGGTATTTCAATTGATGTTAGCGAAAACAACTCAATTAGATTTTGTAAAAAACTTAGATATTTTTTCAGTACTGTTCTATCTCCGATTTAGTACTCCTGCTGCATTGTTTTTGAACGAAATATCAATTAAAACAAGTTCGCAGAAGTATCGCCGTTCGCAGATTTTGCAAAGTAATTTCGATGAAAAAGCATTGAGTGTAGCTTTTAACAAAGATGCTTCAACCTGGGTAAACATATTAAATCTTAGTTTCAAGAAAAGTGATGCTTTGCTTCGGTAATGATTTTATTTGGAGATTCCGAATACACAAGATTTTGAACAAGATTCAAAATTCCTGGATAAAATTTAATATGTATAATTTTTTTGATACCATATTGATTTTGCATTTTTTTTCCAAAATGCGAGGCTTGTATAAAGTGTTGACTTTCGCTGAACCAGTAATCGTTCGGTAATTACGGTAACAACACACGTGCTACGGTAATAACAACCAAACCGGGTCAAAAAGAGCTCAAGATTGGTTTATGCAATTTTAAATGAGCACATTCAGCAATTTAAGAACGCGCGTGAAATCTCTATGATTAATATTTACTCAACTACTGATGTTTCACAGACTGAAAAAAAAAATGCTTTGAGATTTACATTGAGGATTTTAAAAAATTAGAAATGAACATTACGAGTCCAAACTGTGAAATTTGTGAATTGTAAGTGGATTCACTAACAATGACTCTCCCTTTGTTCTTCTTTAGTTCTTTCGTTTTCTTTGATCATTCCGACAACATTTTAACATGATTAAAGACTTGTCTCTGGAATCCAGGAACATACCTACACAAAATTGTGCGCTTATCCAGAGCACAGTTTGGCCTCGTAATGAAATTTTATCTTCTAGGCAGGGGAAGTGTGAGCAATAATCGGAATTATCTGAAACTCGATGCTGAAATTATAGCAAAGCAAAATCAAAGAAAATTTGTAATATGGAAGAAAATTTGTTGATTTATTTTTAGAACTTGTCTAGTATTCTGCAATTTCTAGCAAAATAGTATAAGGATCCAAATTCGAGATAAGTTATCTGCACCGCGGGCAAATTAAAAAAATCACAAGCCAAAAAAGAACGCTCCTAGGCACTATTGGAAAGTTTGGACCAAAAAATTGGGTTTTTTTCGGCGCGTTCTTCCCTATGAAAATTAGTCATATTGGCGCCAAAGACGATTTAGAAAATTATTGAGGTTGTTCAGCGAAAAATGGATGTCATAAAGTTATACCGAAAGGGAGACCCTTTGGAAAAATTGGCAACCCGAATTTAGGGGGGAAGGCGGTCGCCCCCCGCCTCCCCTCTCGGCACGCTACTGGTTTGAATGAATATTAGGAATTTCAGCGGCTAAAGTTTCATTTATTCGACAAGTAAGTTGCAAAAAAAGGCGAAAACAATCAAAACGGTTGCACTCAGCAACTTCTAATTTTTTTGCAGTTCGCTTCTATAATATGGTAGAAGTAAGCGCGTGCAAATTTTTGACAATTTTTTTTGTACTTTAAACAAAATTCGCTCTAAACGCTAGCCATTTAAAACTGACGTTACTGAAATTTTATTTTGCACTGTAAAAATTACGAGGCTTAACTTTTTTTCGAAGGCTGTTGTTTTCACATAAAGAAAATGCCATGGAAGTTGTGACCTTTTTCTGGATGGAAGCGGTAATTGCTACTTACATTTTTAAAGAAAACTTTTGAAGACCCGAAATGCATGTTTTAATAAGGGCTACCAAGTCTAACCTTATTTAGACCAATAGGCGGAAGCCAATTGGTCTTAATAAACTCAAATACGACTCCTACGACATTTATCAATAACTATTTGAGTCCAGTTGAAGGGCAATCGGAACATTGAGGGCTTAGCCCTGATACTGGTAGTCTTATTGTACCGACTTTCGATACGAAAGTAGCGGAATATTTGTGCTCGGGGTGGGTTTTTTTTTTCTTCAGACAAATTTCGACGTTTTAACTAGCCATTTTTGACGGAATTTTTTTTATATCATTCGAAAGGTATTGTTGTCCTGAGCTCAAATTTGAAAAGATATTTCACCTGTAATCATTTTTCGTAAAGTTACGGGGGTTTAAAGATTGCCATTTTGGTCAATTTGGGACAATTAACGCGCGATATATTTCGCGCTAATAACGCGTAAGCGGAGAGTTAATCCGTCTTAGAAGAAGCTTGTTTGCCGTAATTGGTTTGTTACAAGGAGCGAAATCTATCCTTTTGTACTTTATATGGCGTGTGGGGGGGATGATTTTCATAAAAAAATTTAAATTTTAGAAAAAAAAATTTTCATTTTGTTTTATTTCATTGAATTTTTTAATGTTTTTACTGCTCCATAAACCTTAAAGGGCAGTCGGAACATTCAGGGCTTAGCCCTGATACGAGCAGTCTTGTTCTATCATTTAGGGGTAACTTAATTTTGATAAAGTAAACAGCACGCCTACAACCCATTCTAACTAATTCTTTTCTCTTTTTTTATTTAATCTATCGTTCTGTTTTCCTTTTTCTTGGTTTCATATAAATGTGAATTGTCAAAAATGAGTGAAATAACCTCATCGATTTTGAATTAACATAAGCATTTATATGTATATCTTTACGCATAGATTGACAATTTTGAGTTCTTCTTGTCGAATTGCGCGTCGTTTTGTCGCTTTTGATCACGCGTAGAAAGCGTCATTTCCGTTTGCTTCCATATATGGCATATATTGTTGATCCCTTTTGAAAAAATGCATAGCTGATGAGCGTTTTCCATTGCCGTAATGCCACGGCGAAGACCTTTTTCCATAGTGCCAAGGGGAAGATCTTTTTCCATAGTGCCAAGGGGAAGATCTTTTGAGGAATTCTTCAGTTAGGGGGTCGGTGTCTGCTCTTTTGAAGAAGTGCATTGCTGATGATCTTTTGGTGTCGTACAAATCAGAGGGAGAACCCATTCCATCGTCTTCGTAAATTAGAGCTGTCTCCTATAAATATCAAAAATACCGTTTTTCTAATCAATGCCATTGCATTTGTGTGACCATTTCTATCGTGGTTTATTGTCATCAGACTAGATTTTTTTTTTAAATTAGAAATCAGTTGAAATTGTTTTTAGGTAGAGTAAAATTGTTTACCGCGGTATTTTGATAAAAAAAAGAGTGCTTCGGTTATCAAAACTACGCTTTTTTATTGACAAAAAACTCGTATCATACAATTTTTATATACAAAAACTGTACGATAAACACTTTTAAAAACAAAATTTGTCATAATATTTAAAATAGAAATTAGAAAAATAAGTACAAGTTTATCTCAGTTATTTGTTAAAAATGAGTACTTTTCTCATCCAACAGGCCGTTGTTTTTCAGGTGAAAAAAATAGTCATAACGTTTTTTTTTTATCACAGTAAAACGCAAAACACCCAAATACTAAAATAGGAAAGTATTTTTTTGTTTACTAGCAACATGATGTTCAAACAATATGTTCCAAAAAATATTGCTGAAAATTTTTCAAAACCTTCACGCACAAAAAGTATGAAAAATCTCGATGAGTTTTTGTTTTGAAAAGTCTGGTGAAAATAATTATTGCTCATTAAAGAAAACTTTAATTGAGCGCATGAAGGGTTCAATCATTTTTTTTGCAAAGATTGTTCCATTTTAAGAAATTTTTTTTATATATGTGATGCATGTTTTTAAGATCCATGTTGGTTATCAGACTCATAGGTCAACATAAGACTCAAGTAATTTTTTGACACATTCAGTTCGAAAATTGCACAAATATCAGAAATTATGGCCGTTTTTAAAATTTATATGCGCAAACTTTTCAACGAAAACATGCGCAATCTTTTCAACGAGCCAAACTATACCGACTCAAAATTTTTTCAAGAATAATTGAGACAAAGCTACTTAATTTCTTTATGTTTCAATTTAAATTACTATCTTGCTCCATATTAAGCGTACAAATAACTGCGAACTGACAAGACGAGTAAAAAAATAATTTATACAGTAGATCCTAGAAAGCCAGCAAAAAAACTTCGTTTGATGAAAACTGAAATATGTAAACTCAGCGACGTATGGTTTAACCGATAGCTAACTTTCAGTTTCAATTATGTTATTTTGTTTCGCTAAAATTCAAATCGTGAAATTCATAAAAACCTTAAAATTTAAATCTAAAATCCTTCTTAACACATTCTGAAAAAAAAAACGATTGAGTTCATTAATTCCTCCCAGTGTGATCGTTTTGAGAATGAAATTGTTGATTTGATATTTTTTGGTGAGCTCACAAGTAAACGCATGATAAAACGAGACGAAACACGTTGTAAGCAAACTGAAATGATTTTATAAGTTCCTGTTTTGAACAACTATGAATTTATTGTGGGGACATATTAAACCAAATTGCAATTTGTACGTCTACCAGGGTTGACAAAAAAGCTACTCGTACAAATTTCAATCTATTGCTTCAAGATTTCATAAGTCTGAAAACTTGTTAAGAAAAGCTTGACGAGAAGCGTTCTCTCCATGCTTTGAAACTGTATGACTAGCATTGTATTTATACTATGAAACTATATAAGAAACAGTTTCTCCATAGTGAGGAAATACATGACTACAGCAGTTTTTTCATTTTATGAAACTGAATGACTGCCGGGTTGCACAGATCCAACAAAAGCTTCTAATCTGGATAGAAAATTTGGAGATCAAATCTAGGCTACTTTTCTGAGTTTTCTGTCTAGAAACCATTTTTTCTCAACTAAGATTAAAAATAAACAATTTCTATATAAAATAACCTTAAATCAGTTCACGGCTCAACCGGAACAAGATAAATGTTTATTATCTCAGTTTTGAGATTCACGCAAAATTTGTAGCAATAAAAAGCAAATTAAAGCTCGTCATAACACATATGACTTTGCAATAGTTAGCTACAAATATTTAAAGTTTTCAGGACATGTTGTCTAGCTGTTAACTTAAACTTCCACTTAACGGACGATCGCGGGTTCGAGCTCTATGAGGATTATTTTTCTTGCTAGAAATAGCCTTAATTTAGCTAAGTTTTGATCAGAAATCTAATCAGAACTAAAGAGTTTCAAGAAATTCCTTGCTCTATTTAAACATTTCAAAAAAAATTTATCGTCAGATATGTAGAGTGAACGTTAAGTGTTTCTCCATAGAAAGAAAGAATTTGTTGAGTATGGGTGACCGGAAGTCGCTATCTTAGAATTTTTCCTATAAGAATCTTACAACTTCTTAACAAATTTGACTTTAAGGATGTTACAAGGTAAGGAGTGTTTTGAAAGAAAATTGTCAGATGGTGAATTTTCTTACATGAAAATAGCAAGATAGGAACTTTTCTTGCACAATTTTCCCAAATTTTTTTGTATGCTCCCTATTATAAAATTTGTTATAATCCGTTTAAACGTTTATCGCTGTTGCAGATCTCATATAAGGAAACTCGTAGGCCAAACGAAACGTTTGGCTAAATGAGGTTACTAAAAACCCAATTAACTTTATAGATTTAGTTTTTAGCTGCTAATCATTTTGATTTTTCATTGTCTCCAAAATAATTTGAACCGCTAATTACGTATAAATAGCAGATTGATTGATTGATTGAGTATAAAATTCTTTTTTGTTCAAAATGCATGCATTATAACCACTAAATTAACACTTTTACATGTATAAAATTAGAAGAAAATCCAATTCTTCCAAAATTAATTTTCATTTGTTATAACGGTACAAAAACACTTTCAAAAACGTTTTCGGCGATTTTTTTTTAAAATTTGTAAGATAGCAGACATTTATTACGAATCTTATCAGAAGTTCTAAGTTGGGTGATTTTTTTTGTAAGTTGATCATCCCGGGATAGGATTTTTTCAAACTTTTGGAATTTAATACCTGCTTTTTTCTCAGTTTAAATATTAAGTCATAACCAGGATTGAAGTGATCGAACGAAACGGCCTTATGGGCCGGGCGATAACTGATTTTATACCCAATTTTTATAAGTCGATTCAAAAAATTAAAGCGAAATTTTAAATCACTTAAAATTTAAACTGATTGTGATTTCAACAAAGTCAACAATCAGTGAAAATATGCGCACAGTTAATAAACGTTAGACTATAAATAGTTTTTGAAATTAAAAAATTTAAAAATTTTTTGATGATTATCAATTTTTGAGCAATTTTAATAATAATGAAGTGGTTAAAAAATTTTAACTCATCTATCAAAATATATACAAACCATCAGAAGAAAAAAATGTAAAAAGTAGAAAAATAAGTATATCTCAAAAAAATAACATAGCCAGCCATGAATATGATTGTTTTAACTCCAGCTTTTTGCAAAAAAAAATAGATTCGAAAACAGATAAAACAAGACTTGTTGCTGAATGATTCAAAAGAAGCCGTTTCCATTTTTGCAGACGAATCTACTTTTTTTGAGTTACAGTAAACAGTAGCTCAAGAGTTCCGGACCAAATGTTTTTTCTTATTATGAAACCAACAATAATAACAATCAAAAATACCTGGTCTGTTGGTGGCAAAGCAATTGCGATACAGTTGATTTTCTCTACCAGCACCGACAAAATCACCAGAACCCAAACGAATCTCATACTTCTGGAAAAAACACCTGATGCTTCCGACAGTTGTCTGGACCGGGTTGTCCGTGTTGTCATCAGTCTGGTGTTGCTGATTTGTGCCATTGTTTGGAGATTTTTTAGGGTTTTTTTCGTCTATTTTCAAGGAAGGAACGAGTTTTTTGGTGTTATCTGCAGTGTTCCTTGTGAAGATTTAATTGTTCAAACTCTAGAACACAACAAGAAAATACATAAAAAAGGTGTAAAATAAATCAACTTTTCTCTATCTAGTTTCACATTGAAATTATTTGTAGTGAAGTACTTAAACGAAATTAAAAAACAAGTAAGTGCGGGAAAGTTAATTACTTACCTTTGTAGAATTTCTTTGAAGTTCAAATTTAGGAAAAGGGTGGAAAGTTAAACTGAATTAAAGGTGTTTTTTCTTCCCGTTTATTCAATCTTGAAAACAGTAAGCAAAACAGTACGAAATTTAATTTATATTAACTAAACTTAGAATAACAAATCTATAAAACTGACCAATCCGACAAAAAATATCGAATTTTTCATTACCCTCCTGGGTAACCACCAGTTCACAAAGAAAATCCAGCTCAATATATAGAAAATTGTAGCCCCAACAGTTTTAATTGTGAGATAGTTTCAAACTGAATTTTGTACTACTAACCTTGCAGTTAACTTAGTAAAAAAAGGAGGGTTAAAAAATGAATGAAAACCGTCAAATTTATTTTTCCCTCATAAAGTAAAAAATTACACGTAATCTTCAGTCTTTAAATTAATTTTAACAGTATACTTCATCATATTTATCTATTTTAAAATAGATTTCTATATAGCTATTTTTAGTAATATGAAGACGAATTATCGAACAAACTCGGTAATTCAAAACGGAAAAAAAACTCAAGTAGCCAATAACTAGAAAATCTAAATACAATATATTTTTACCAATCATGGAAGCAATATGATACCATGTTTAATTGCATCGCGTTGAGATTAAGAAGATCTAACACTGAACCTTATGTATAAAAACTTCTAAAAGAAGAGAAAACGATAAAACTGTTTAATTTCTTTCAACTAAGTTGTTATTTTTCAAATAATCATACAGTTTAAGAGAAAATAATCTCTAAAAACTTCTCAAAAGTAATTGCTAAAAATTGAAAATTACTCACCGGGTTTTGGGAGCTCGACTGGTTTTATTTTTCATATAAGGTTACTTATTTCCCGCATCAGAAAGGAACAATTTATTTTAATTATTTGGGATCAGGTTTTTGTTTCCCGCTAAAAGGATATTAATTATTTGACGGGAAACGCTCCCTAATTTGACGTAAATTTGGCCTGACTTTTAATTAAAATGGATGCTTTTTGGGTATAAGATATAAACCAATAACTAGAAAGTTTTTCTAATAAAAAGTTTGTTTGCTATGTAAATTTGAAAAACGGCCTAATTTCCTTACAAATACGTTAAGTAATACCGGTGGCAGCATTTAACTGTTAATTTTTCAAGCCTTTAAATTGATTTTTGACTAGCTCACGAAAACAGAAAATGGTATATGTATGTTGCAATTTACTATTATTAACGGGTAAAAATGTATTTTTTTTAAGAAAAAAAAATTTCTTACCTGATATTATAAAAAACTCACCTTAGCATTAGTTGTTTCAATCAAATCAGAAAAAGTATACCTTTTGAAGAGCATATTAAAATTCTATGAATATTTATTACTTATTTATACCTCGTTTTTAAATATA